TCTCCTCGCCTTTCTAAATTAAAGTATCTAACGACCTCAAACGGCAATTCACTCTCCAACCCTTATCAAAAACCCATGTATGATAGCATATTTTAGAAAAACTAACCATTAAAATTAAGATAAACTGTGAAGAACTTCGGTGACTCATCCTCCACTTGAGCCCCTCCTCTTAGCTGACCCAATCTAAAACTCTTAAAATATTAGTCAGCTCTAAAATAGTATCTCTTGTGGATTGATTTACTATTCTCTAACCATTGACAACAACTCGAACCCCCAGCTAAGATGAAATAAATTTTTCTTAGAATAAAACTTAGTCACGAGAAAGTAAACGTCATTCTAACAAATTGATATAATCTCTCTCCAACCCGTCAACCTCGACAATCTATGATCGCCCAAAGTTACGATAACCACACAATCACCGTAAGAACTAACAGTTTAAGAGATAAAAACTCTAATCTCCGAATTTTGCATCCATCATCCTAAACTTTAGGTCAAAAGATAATCTAGGCAGTAAGCAAACAGTAATTTTACCCAATCATTTGATTAACGATTAAAGATACAATTTTGTAATTACACCACATAAACAAACAGTAGGAAATAATAAATCAAAAAGAAAAACACGGAAAAAGACAATCATAGCAAAACAAAAACATATTATAAAACGAAAACTTTCAAAAACACGTAACGCAGTTTCTGAATCAGACACAATTACCATTCAAAATCTTCAGGACCTAAACAATTCGAAAAATTAAATCAAAAGACCAACGGAAATGTTTTTTTGACTCAGAATCCATATCACCATCAACAACAAATGATAGACGTAGAAATGCAAAATCATATTTAAATAAACCGTTACGACTATGTAATTGGAATCAACCAATAAAACATACTGAAAATTACACATTTACAAATTTGAGATACAAAAATGGCGCAATAAGAGGACAATTTAGACGATGACTTCATACTTCCCTTTGTTATACATCCACAAAGCGGTGACGGTCGCGGAGAAGTACACTTTAGTCATAATTTCTAAATAATAATTTCTTAATTTCTAGAAATTTATTCGAAAAAAAGAATTAGTCCCTTTTACACTATTAAAAAACATTTATAAAATCACATTGTGTTAAGGAGTATTCACTTTTAAATTTTATAGGCACCCAATCAAACATCGCACCAAAAACAAACAGTTGATATAGATCTAAAGTTCTCAAAAAATTTTCACAGAATACAAAAAATATATACAACCTCACAATATTCAAAGAGCAAAATCAGTCGTCACAAATGACAAACGATGTTTTCTCTATTATTTATTGTTATCTTTTTCTACTAGAATTTTAAAAAAATCACCGAATGAATCATCACCTCAGACATCTTGACACTCAACTGTAAGTCAAGAAATTTTTCTTTTCTCAAAAATCCTAGATACAATCCGTGAAAACCTCACAAGTAATGAAACATCACAAAATGTAAAACATGACTTAAAACGAATCCTAGCGTAGTTCATAATAGACTATTTTTGTTCACAATTTAGATTTCATTTCAACATCAAGAAAAAAATTTTGACCACAAATTTCAGACGATGAAAGTATATTAGCCGACCAAATAGAATATATTTGGGACCCTGAATGGTCTAATCCCTTAATTACTAATATAACCAAAAACATTTTAAGTGCAGCAATCACCACTGTATCTGTACACAAAGATTGCATAAGAGTTACTCCACTTACTATTGATTCAACACCTATAATCATATAACACCACAATGTTCAACGATAGAACAGGAAATAGTTTAAATTCAGCATTTATAAACACACAAGAAACCCTTAAGGGAAAAAAATTCGTACACAACAAAATATACAAACCCCATCACATTTGATAAACGAGGAAAAAGTTCAAACAAGGCCTACAACAACACAACAAAGCATTTCCTCTATTCATCCTGCACTTACAACACCACACAATAAAATGCTCCATTCTCAAAACAACCATTCAATCAACAGTAAAGTCATGTGTTGTCCCAAAAAATTCACAAATGGATTATCAATAATATAGACCAATTAACCAAACACGACACTCGAACAAGCGAAAGCCTTCAAATAGAAAAAGTTTTTCAACTCACAATTATGACTTTTTCACTAATACAAAAATAAACAAACCAATAAAAAAAACACGTCGTCAAAATCAATCACAAGAACAAGAGATACCACAACAAGCCCCCCCCCCCCCCCCTACTCACTTTTCTTCAATAACCAAAAAACGAACTACAAAAAATTAAAGTAGAAACTTTCCTATTTTTTCAACAAAATAAAAGTTTAACAAACAAACAATTTACAAGAAATCAACCACACTATTCAGAAGACAAAGATTATTTGAATCAAAATCAATAAACTTATAATAATCTATGAAATAACAACTGGAATACTGATCAACCAGATAATATTTAGCAACCAGATAACTTTGAACCTTATACACATTCTGAACAAACACGACAACCAAGACA